TCACACAGTCCCTTGTGTGAAAGAAGCTCAAAGAAAGATTCAAGATGGAAAAACAAAGAAAAAAGCATGAAAATGAGATGGTATGTACAAGGGAAGAAACGTTTGATACCTTAGTGCTCCCCAAAGAACTGGGAAGCAAGATCATGAGTTGGGGAGGGCAGGCGACCATAACATCATCAATCGAGTCAAAATAGGTGTGGTGGGAATGGGCTCGGTCGAGTCTGTGGCTCGAGTCAGAATAGCTTGCCTTTTGAACTAACTCCTGCAAGACTTAGACAGAAAGAACTACAAAGAACTTAAATGAAAGAGTTATATACAAGATAGGCATGGGAATTCCTCCCAAGTGAGCTTTTTTAAGGTCCCATAGCTTGACCTTTTACCTTTTAGGCATGAAAGGGAGCAGTCCCACCATCAAGAGTGACAATAAGGATTGAAGATAGGAGCTCCTTGAGCTTGGTTTAATCTTTTTGAAGCTTAGAACTGACTAAGGCCTTGACACTGGAAAAGGGTTTAGACTTTCCCTTGCACTTGATCTTGTACTCAATCTTCCCATCCTTATACCTTAGAGGGATCAACCTTAGTTTATTGGGAGATGGATCAATGGAGAGAGGTTGGGGTTCGTTCATCTTCCTTGTGGTTCCCAGATTGGCCCTGATGGCTCTACCCACGTCCTTCTCTTGAGCACTTTCCATGTGCTCACCAAACAAGCTTTGTAGACACTCTCCATCTAGGACGCCATTGACACACTCATGAAGCTTTTTCTGATTAGTTTTCTTCACCACTGCACCCTCATCACGTTCAGCAAAACTATTCTCCTTAATCTCCAATGAGGGAAAGAAGAAATAGCTTACACATTTTTCATTGAGAGAAAATGCATCCTCTTGAACCTCTTCAAGATCACTCTCTTCTTCATGAGCCCATTGGATGGATTCCAAACCATAGTCTTGACCTGTGCCCACGTCCTTAGCCTCTTCTTCATGCTGGGGTTCACCAAGTTTTCCATTGAAACCAAGTGGTGTCATTTCTTCATTAACCTCAACAGGAGCATTATTAGAGATCAGAGAAGGCTCATGGTTCTCTTGGTAGCTTTGTTGAATTCCTTTAACTCCATGGTTAGACCAATGATTGAGAGACATACTCTTTTGGTTGGAGTTTCCATTCTGGACCACGAAATTGGTTTCCTCTTGGTGCTGCTCAAGATCCAAACAAAGTCCTCTTTCTTGCACACTTAGGAGCTTTTCCAATCTATCCAACTTATCTTGCAAAGCTGTCCACTTGAAGTCTTCATACAAACTCTCTTTGGGGATTGGAAATGGCTAAGTATAGCTTCTCTTGTAAACCCATGATGTGAACAATCCCTAGTGTATCCTCTCAACCTTTCCCATGCCTCATGAAAGGTTTCATGGCTGCCTTGTTGGAAGCTCAAGATGCTTCTCCTCATTTGGTGTGTTCTTTGTATGGGATAGAACCTTAGAAGGAAGACTCTCTTGCAATCATCCCAAGAATTGACCAAATGAGATGGTATGGCTCTCTCCCATTGGCTTGCCTTTCCTCCAAGTGAGAATGGAAACAAGATGAGCTTGATACTATCTTTAGGAACACCACAGATCCTAAACGTGCTACACAACCTATCAAAGTAGTCCAAGTGATCATAAGGATTCTCCAGTCCATTTCCCAAGAACTTAGAGCTTTGAATCAACCTTATCAAACTTGGCTTGATCTCATAGGCGTGGGCTTCAATGGGTGGAGGATGGATTCCATAACTAAACCCATCATAATGAAGAACATCACAATCTCCAACTGTGGGCGTGGCCACTTGTGCTTGGTTAGGAGGTTGGACCAATTCTGGAGGTTGTGGAGGTAGAGGAATGCTCTTGTGGTTGTCCATCTCAAACACCTCACATGATCTTGTCTTCCCATTTCTCTTCTTCTTAGTTTGGTACCTTGGAAAGCACAAGAGAATAAGAGAACACAAGTTAGTAACAACAAAAAGGAAAAAGTTCATCATCTCCTTGAGAGATGAACAAACACAAGAACTTGATCTTGCAAGCTACTGGAATTCTAAATGCAATCAAAACAATTCCCAATCGGCAATGGCGCCAAATTGATAACAGGATTTTACTATCAATTACTCAAATCCAGCTACTCATGTCATTGTAGCATTTGAGGTGTCAATCTAAATGGGAAGCTGATTACTCTATAGAACTATGCAGGAATTATGCAATTCAAGCCAAATGATAAATGAAGATGGATGTAACAACTAAACAACCTAATATAACGGAAATGCAATGCAGAATGTAAAAGAAAGCAGCTAAATGCAAGAAATTAACAAGAACAAGCAGATGCAAGGGAGCTCGACCAAGAGCTCGATCGAGTTGATGAGCTCGACCAGAGCTCGATCGAGTTGATGAGCTCGATCGAGTTGAGGGTCGAGATGGTGAGCTCGATCGAGTTGAGGGTCGAGTTGGTGAAAAAACAGAGGAAATGCAATGAAAAGCGATAAAGGTGCAAACTTTAAGATGCTAATACGAAGATTAGGGTTAAAGACAGGGTTTTGCAGCTAAAGGGAGGCTATACTTAATCAGTCTTGCTCTTAAACAACTTGTATCAAGGTATCTCTTGATATTGAGCTTCTCAATGCCTAGCTAACCCTTTCCCAAGGTGAAAGCTATCAACCAAGACTTGATCTCAGAAACAGGGGGTTAGCCAGTGAGAATCAAGCCTTGGAGGCCATAGGATCATTGCTCAAACTAATCCATCCAACCCCTATGACTCCATTTCGAGAGCAAGAGTTATTGGAGCTCTTAGTGGACCTTTTCCAACGATTTCCATCACTTCCATGTGGAGAATCTCCTATGGACATACAAGCCAGGGGTAGTGGTCATGTAGCCTTAAGGTTTGTCCAAAAGAGAGAGATTTCTAGATTAAGAACATAAGCAAGAAGGATTAAGCATAAACAATAGAGCAAGGAGAGCTCGTGTGTATCACGTAAAGAATCGACAAACTCCACAACTCGGCCATGCATACGTTTACAATCAGGAACGGTTGTAAGGTCAAGAGGTCCACGAGGAAGGAGACTGTAAACCACCTCAAACGGACTAAAACCCGAGCTCCGATTAGTAGCGTGATTGTGTGCAAACTCCGCCTGACACAAACGAGACTCCCACGACCGAATATTCTCACCCACCAAACAACGCAACATGTTACCTAAAGCACGATTAGTAACCTCCGTTTGGCCATCCGTCTGAGGGTGATACGCCGTGCTCATATCAAGGCTAGTATGAAGCATCTTCCATAACGACCGCCAAAAGTGACTAAGGAATCTTTTATCGCGATCAGAAACAATGGAGGTCGGAAGACCATGAAGCCGATAGATCTCCTGGAAAAAAAGTTGAGCAACTTTCACCGCGTCAGTCGTTCTCTTGCAAGGAATAAAATGCGCCATCTTCGAGAAACGATCCACCACAACAAAAATAGAATCATTTCCGCGTTGAGTCCTTGGTAACCCTAAAATAAAATCCATGCTCAAATCGGTCAATGGTTGAGTTGGAATAGGCAAGGGAAGATATAACCCAGCATTAGAAGCTTGACCCTTCGCCAATTGACATGCACGACAACGTTCCACAAACCGTTCGACGTCACGACGTAGAGTAGGCCAATAATATGAAGCCGAGACCAACTGCAATGTTCTATCACGGCCAACATGTCCCTCCACATGAAGCTCTTCGATCACACGTAACCTCAAACTACAATCAGGCACGCAAAGACGAACACCATAAAATAGAAAACCATCTTTAAGGGTAAAGTCATCACGAGTGCCACTATTAACGTCGGTGAGGATTCTTGAGAAGAAAGGGTCAGACTCGTAAAGCTCCGAAAAAGACGCAAAGCCAGGGACATTAACATGCATGGTAGTGAGCAAAGTGTGACGTCGACTCAAGACATCAGCAACACGATTCAACTTTCCGGCCTTGTGACGGATAGAGAAAGTGAATTGTTGCAAATATGCTATCCACGAGGCATGTCGAGATGAGACTTTAACCTGACTATCGAGATGTTTCAAAGCATCATGATCTGTAAATAGCACAAAATCTCAATGGACCAAGTAATGACGCCAATGTTTGATGGCTTGTACCACGGCATAAAATTCAATGACATACGTATTGTATCGACTCCGAGCTCCAGCGAGCTTTTCACTGAAATACGCCACCGGCAGTGTTTGTTGGCTCAAAACCGCTCCTATGCCCAGCTTAGACGCGTCACAATGGAGTTCAAATGGTTGTTCAAAATCTGGGAGGACTAAGAGAGGAGCCGACGTTAACTTCTGTTTAATAACCCGAAATGCTTCTTGTGCTTCTTCGGACCACACAAAGTGTGAGGCTTTCATGCAATCAGTCAAAGGAGCCATGATCGAGCTGAAATGGGGGTACAAAGCGACGATAAAACGAAGCTAGTCCATGAAAACTACGCACTTCCGACACTGAACGTGGTTCTGGCCACCAACGCACCGCCTCAACTTTACTCTCGTCCATTGATAAGCCACTCGAAGACACAACATAACCAAGAAAAAGAACTTGATCACAACCCAACTCACACTTCTGCCGAGCCACAAAGAATGTCTCACGACGCAAAACTAGTAAGATTTGACGAAGATGGTCTTGATGCGTCTCCATTGAAGAACTGAAAATCAATATATCATCAAAGTAGACCACAACAAACTTACCAATAAACGGACGCAAAGCTTGATTCATGACCCTCATGAATGTGCTTGGAGCATTAGACAACCCAAAAGGCATCACCATCCATTCAAACAAACCTTCACGTGTCTTAAAAGCTGTTTTCCATTCATCACCCGGACGAAGATGAATCTGATGGTAGCCGCTCTTTAAATCCAATTTAAAAAAAATTGTGTCTTCCTGATTTGATCAAGTAAGTCATCAAGGCGAGGAATCGGAAAGCGATATCGCACAATGATCTTGTTAATAGCTCGACTATCCACACACATCCTCCACGAGCCATCTTTTTCTGGAATAAGAAGAGCGGGTACGGCGCAAGGACTCAAACTCTCTCGTACATGTCCTTTAGAAATCAATTCCTGACTTGTCGTCTCAATTCTTCATGCTCTTGAGGACTCATCCTGTAGTGTGGTCTATTCAGGAGGACAGCTCCAGGAACAAGGTCAATCTGGTGTTGAATGTCTCGAAGTGGTGGAAGACCTTGAGGTAGTTCAGACGGGAAGACATCCGCAAATTCTTCTAGTAAACGTGCAATCCAAGCAACTAAAGGTTTCTCCATTTTTGGAGTTTTGTCCGATGTTAAAAGAACCACAGCAAATCCCGCAGCTTGAAATTCTGTCTCAAACACCGACATGGAACAAAATAACACACTCGCCGTTGGTTCACGCACCACGTCACGGACCGGACCCAAAACGTCGAACTTAGCTGTCGGTGGAGCTAGGCTAGGAAGGAGAATGATGCGACGATTCTCAAAAATAAAACTATGAGTGTTGCTCTTACCATGATGAGTAACATCTCGATCATACTGCCATGGTCGCCCTAAAAGTAAGTGACCAACATCCATTGGTGCAATATCACAAAATATCTTGTCTTTGTAATGGGGGCCAATGGAGAAAGACACCAAAGTGCGGTGAGTGATATGAATATCAACCGCCTTGTTCAACCACGTATAAACGGGGATGATTTTCACGCCGCAATCCCAACTTCCGACAAGCTTCCTCAGAAACTACGTTTTGAGAACTCCCTGAATCAATCACTACTTGACAAACTTTGCTCTTTATTGTGCAAGTAGACTGAAAAATATTGGTGCGGAGATAGGGGTCTTCACTTGCTACCGGAGAGAAACAAGAACGCGCGACCAACATAGTTCCCTGATCACCACTTGTTCTAGTTTCGGGAAAGGCAAGTACGTCGTCTTCGGGGGTCTCACCTTCTTCACCTTCATCATCCCACTTAACCTCATCGGTAAACAAACCGCGTCGAGTCTTTGTGGGACAAGCGGTTTGAATGTGGCCAGCTTCTCCACAAGAAAAACATCGTAAAACGTTTGATTTAGTGGATCTGCGTAACTGCTGAGAGTCACTCGAAGGATTCGTTGTGGCTAATCGTCCACCTCCTGTGTCTTCACTCTCACACATGTTAGGAATTGTGGCTCCTCCATCCGTAATAGTCGGCCGATTACGAGAAGTAGAGCTCCAAGACGAGTTAGACTTGAATTGCTGCTCAAACGCGATAGCCCTCGATTGAGCTTCTGCGATCGTCATTGGATCAAATTGCATTAAAGCATTCTGTATTTGAGGTCGTAGTCCTCCAATAAAACGTGACACCAACTGAATTTCGCTATCGAAGATCTCGTTACTTGTAATCAAGAGAGAAAACTCGTCAGCGTAGTCGTCTACTGTGCGAGATCCTTGACGCAAGTTTTGCAACCTGGTATACATCGTACGGTCGTAATTCTGCGGTAAAAATGAGAGACGGAGCTGCTTATGTAGTTTCTCCCATGTCTTAATCTTGCTTTTACCAGTGCGGGCTCGAGTAGCCTTTAGTTGTAACCACCATGAAGCTGCGCGTCCGCGGAATTTGGTTGCAACTACTGGTACTTTACGATGATCGGGAACTTGTTTGAATTCCATGGCCTCGTCGACGGCGACAAGCCAATCCAAAAGTTCGTCTCCGCGAGCACCTCCATGAAACTCGGGAATCTCCACTTTGAACCCTAATTCCCAGTTTCGGTCACCTGTGTTTCCATCTTCCTCACGAAGATCTTCCTGAAGCTGACGACGTTGGTCCTTGCCTCCTGCAAAAGGGTTGTCGAGTGTTTCATCAGAATCAGAATCCAAACCTTGCCTTGACTGATTGTTCTGCAACATCGTTTCAGCCAACTCTTGGATGGAATTAGTGATCGTAGCCTGGATATTCGCCTGCATATCCATAAGAGTACGACGAAGCTCTGCCCACTCATTGGTCGGTGCTTCGTTGGTATGTTGGGTGTTGCGCTTAGGAGCCATCTCTGAATCAAGGAAAAAAAAACACGCCAAGAACGTGCTGTCTCTGATACCAAAACTGGCGTAGCGTAAGCGTAACGACTCATCGTTGATTCAAACTGAATAGCCGAACAGAGAGTAGCTTGAAGCTCGTTGATTCACAAGGAATAGCCGAGAAACAAGAAAGATAGATGCTTGTAAAAGCTCTGAATAATTCAATAACAACTGTCTTTCACGTTACACAAGAGAGACTATAAATAATGAAAGCGACAAACGAAAACCCTAGACGTTTGTAAAAAGGAAATAACAAGAACATAGCTTAAAGCCCAAGCAAACGCTTAAGACTCATAATAACTAAAGAAAAGCCCATACGAATAATATGAAAAGAAAGATAAAGAAGATAGTAGTAGAGATGCGCTGCATCACAAAGGCATCAAATCCAAAGGAGAGATGGGTTTAAACCCATAAACAATTTCAAGTGGTGAAAACTTAGAAGCAGAATGCACAGCATGGTTATATGCAAACTCAATATGGCAAACATTCATCCCAACTTTTAAGATTCTTTTTAATCAAGGCGCGCAACAAAGTTCCAAGAGTTCTATTAACAACTTCAGTTTGGCCATCAGTTTGAGGGTGACAAGTAGTAGAAAATAAAAGCTTAGTACCCAACTTAGACCACAAAGTTTTCCAAAAATAACTCAGGAACTTAGTGTCACGATCAGAAACAATGGTGCACGGCATGCCATGCAATCTAACAATTTCTTTAAAGAACAGAGCAGCTATATGAGATGCATCATCAGTTTTGACATGCACAAAATGAGCCATTTTTTAGAACCTATCAACTATCACAAAGATAGAATCTTTTCCAGTTCTAGTCCTAGGCAATCCAAACACAAAATCCATGGATATATCAGTCCAAGGATGAGATGGGATAGGGAGAGGAGTGTACAAACCGTGAGGCTGAACCTTAGATTTGGATTGTTTACAAGTTGCACACCTAGAACAATCCTCTCCACATCTCTGATCATGTGCGGCCAATGAAAATGATACGCATGACTTGAAGTGTTTTGGCCACACCAAAGTGTCCCATCAAGCCTCCTCCATGTGCTTCCCTGACAAACAAATCCCTCAAGGAACAATTAGGCACACAGAGACGGTTCTCATAGAAGAGAAACCCATCTTGTCTAGAATATCGGCCAAAGCAAACTTAGAACAAGACTTGTAAATCTCAGCAAAATCAGAATCAGAATCATACAAGTCTTTTATCTGTTCAAAGCCCAAGAGTTTAGCATCAAGAGTTGAGAGAAGAGTGTACCTCCTGGACAATGCGTCGGCTACAACATTGTCCTTACCTTTTTTGTACTTGATGACATATGGGAATGGTCTCAATGAACTCAACCCACCTGGCATGTCTTTTGTTGAGCTTTTGTTGGCCCTTGAGATGTTTGAGAGATTCATGGTCTGTGTGGATGACAAACTCCTTTGGCCAGAGATAGTGTTGCCAAGTTTGCAAGGCACGGACCAAGGCATAGAGTTCTTTGTCATAGGTTGGATAGTTGAGAGTGGCTCCTCCAAGCTTTTCACTAAAGAAAGCGATTGGCTTCTTATCCTGCATCAAGACAGCTCCTATGCCAATACCTGAAGCATCACACTCAATCTCAAAAGTTTTCAAGAAGTCAGGTAAAATAAGAACATGGGCATTAGTCAAGCGATCCTTGAGAGCTTGGAAAGCATCCTCCTGTGCTTTCTCCCACTTGAATCCAACTTCTTTCTTGATGACTTCAGTTAAGGGTGCGGCCAAGGTACTAAAATCACGGACAAACCGCCTATAGAACCCGCTAGGCCATGGAAGCTTCTGACTTCACCACTGTCTTAGGGCTGGCCATTCACGGATTGCTGCAACTTTCTCTTCATCCACCTTGACTCCATCTGCACTCACAACAAAGCCTAGAAAAACCACATTATCTGTGCAAAAAGTACATTTCTTAAGATTGGCAAACAATTTTTCTTTTCTCAACACAGATAACAGATGCAAGGTGATCTAGATGCTCTTCAAGGTTCTTGCTGTAAATCAAAATGTCATCAAAGTAAACCACAACAAAATGACCAATGAAGTTTCTCAAGATATGGTTCATCAGGCGCATGAATGTACTAGGTGCATTAGTGAGACCAAATGGCATGACAAGCCATTCATAAAGACCATGTTTAGTTTTAAATGCAGTTTTCCACTCATCACCTTCTTTCATCCTAATCTGATGATAACCACTTTTCAAATCAATTTTAGAGAAAATGCTAGAACCATGCAACTCATCAAGCATATCATCAAGTCTAGGGATAGGATGTCGATACTTTACAGTGATATTGATGGCTCGGCAAGAGATACCTTGATACAAGTTGTTTAAGAGCAAGATTGATTAAGTATAGTCTTCCCCTAGTTGTAAGACCCTGTCTTAGACCCTAATATTTGCATTAGCTTCTTAAGGTTCTTGCCTTTATCGCTTTTTACGCTAACTCGACCCTCAACTCGACCGAACTTGGTTACTCTGTTCCCACTCGACTCGAGTCCTTGGTCGAGCTGCTTGCTTTACTGCTCTCTTTTATTTTCAGCATTGCATTTCTGTTTCATTAGGTTGTTAGAGTTACCAACCATCTTATTTACTGTCTGCTTGACTTTCTTCTGATTGCATACTCTCATAGAGCATCATTTCACCCTTTTGGATTGATAACCCCATCGACTATGATGGTTAAGGGGAATTGATTGATTGTGATTGTGTTTGCACCATACCATCCCATCTTTATTTACCACTGTTGCATTCCACCTCATTTCACTTCATATCATCACACACACACACAAATCTTATCATCAATTTGGCGCCGTTGCCATTTGGGTTGATTTTTGTTGCATTTGAGTTTCCAATACACTTGGACGATCAAGCTATCCCACCCCTGTTCTTGTATTGCTGGGTTTTTATTTCTTTTGCAGGTGCATGCGAACTCGATCGAGTCGAACAACAGAAGACTTGGTCGAGCTAGATTTCACCACCAGCAGAAAGAGAGGTCAGAGAACTCAGAGGGTACAAGAGAACCTGAGGTGCTTGTTACTGAAACCATGGATGTACCAGAGGGGAATGGAAACCCTTTGGGTAATGGACTCGGTCGAGCTAGGCAACCTCGACCGATTGGTCTAGGAGATGCTCCAAACCGCCATCAACAAAGACAAGGGATTGTCCCACCACCTGTGCAGAACCACAACTTTGAGATCAAGCTGGGTAATGATCAACCTTGTCCAGAACAAGATGTTCCATGGATTGCCAAGTGAAGACCCCATTGATCACCTTGATGAGTTTGATAGGCTTGTGATTTGACAAGATCAATGGTGTCTCTGAAGATGCCATCAAGCTGAGACTCTTTCCTATGTCTCTTGCTGACAAGGCTCACCAATGGGAGAAGAGCCTGCCCCATGGCACAATCACCACTTGGGATGAATGCAAGAAGGCCTTTCTTGCTAAGTTTTTCTCCACCGGTCGCACAGCCAAGCTTAGGAGTGAGATATCCAGCTTCATTCAGAGGAACAATGAGACTTTTGCTGAGGCTTGGGAAAGATTCAAGGGCTACACAAGTCAGTGCCCCCATATGGCTTCAACAATGAGTCATTGTCTCTACTCTCTATAGAGGATGCTTGGCAAGGTATAGAGAGATGTTAGACACAGCCAGCAATGGGAACTTCCTCAATCAAGATGTGGATGATGGCTGGCAGCTTGTGGAAAACATTGCAAACTCCAATGGAAGTTATGGAGAAGAGTATGATCGCACCAACCGGAGCTCGACCCACCACTCGATCGAGTCCGATGAGAAATTGAGAAAAGATGTCAAATCGTTGAATGAGAAGTTGGATAAGCTTATCTTAGCTCAGTCCACAATGAAGAAGGTCAATTTTGTGTCTGCTGAAGAGATGGAACCAGTCCAAGAAGGGGAGGATACACAATTTGCTGAAGTATGTTACATGAGCAATGGGCAAGGAGGTACAACAAAGGATACTATAATTACAAGTCCAACCCAGCCATGTCATACAGAAACACTGATGTTGCCAACCCTCAAGGACCAGGTTTACCTCAACAACAGCAAGCTCGATCGAGTCAAGCTCCACAACATGGGTATGGTCCTAAAAACAACTACCAAGGCCCTCAAGGGACTTTTCCTGGTCAGCAAATGCACATACCACCTGGCTTTCCCCACCAACCACCCCAGCCTGCACCTACACCTGAGCATGAGCTCAAGGCTATGCTAAACAATTGCTTCAAGGGCAAGCTGATGGTGTTGTGGACACAAGCAAGAAGTTGCTGAAATCAACTCCAAGATTGAGAATCTCAACACAAGAGTGTACTCTCTGGAGAATCATGCTTCTTCTGTGCTGCTGCTACAAAGCAAGGACAACTACCTGGTAAAGCTGTTCAGAACCCCAAGGAACAGTGCAAGGTCATTTCACTCAAGAAGGGCTTAATGAAGAAGAGGATCAAGAGAAGTCATGGAAGAGTTTTGTTTGCTGCTGAATGATGACGAGATTGTTGCTGCTGAGATCCTGGAGTCCAGAATTGATCAACCTGAAGTGCACGCTACTCCCATAGCCATTCACACTTCACCAGTTGAGCTCGCACAACAAGCTCGATCGGCAGCTCGATCGAGTCGACTCTTAGCTCGATCCGAGTCAGACATTAGTCCTCAAACCGACTTTGCTTGATCCTTACCAGCCAGTTGACCCTTCCTCATCTCGCCTACTCAGTCAAGCCATAAGGAAGTGATTCACAAGTTCAGAAGAGACCTTAGTGAGATTGGAATTGAGTTGCCTTCTATGGAAAGCATGAGTGAGGCATTTGAGCAAATGAAGATGATTAAAGATGTTATGGCTAACAGTGATTAGGCCTGGGCATAATGGGTACTCGGTTCGGTTCCGGGTCGGGTCCTTCGGTTCCGGGTCTTACGGTTATTTGAAATATTTATCCAAATAGGACCCGTTACTATTTCGGTTCGGTTCCTGCATTAAAATAACTGTAAATTATCCGAGTAACTGTGGATACTGGTCGGTTTTGGGTATAAAACGGTTTTTTTACTCGTTTTATCCGAATTCCTGTGATTTAATCCGAAAACAGAACAGAAAATTGAACACAAATACTTCATGTCATGAAACAACAAAGGACCAAAGTGACAAAAAACACATCAAAGTATCAAACCATTCAAGATTTCAAGACACAAAGCCACAAAGTATCAACTATCAAAGCTTAACACAAAAACAAAAGAGAAAAACACTAAGTCTTATAATAGAAGACACCAACTCTTCTATTCTTCATGACAATCGGACCCTTAAACTTCATTTCCTCCTCACCGAGTCTCTTGTTATCAAACTACATTACATAATCACACACTAAGCTAAAGACTCAAAGAGATAAAACAAATTGTACTCTGTTTTAGAACAAAGAAAGTAATTACCAAGAACTCAAGGCGCGTGGAAGGTGAATGCGGGTTCAAACTCTAAAGAGAAAAAAAAAACCGATTCATGAAATTAGTAACTGTAAATCTGAAATGAAATTGCCATAAGAAATCAGGAATATACTTTACCTCTCATGAGATTATCTGGAACCTCAACATCCGCAAGCAGCTGTTCCTTTTTGACCACATTTCATCCATTGCTCAAGACACATCAAAACTTCAATTGTGTAATGAGTCAAGCAGCTTCTACTTGGTTCTAAAACTCTTCCTGAGGTACTAAAGGCTGACTCTGAAGCAACTGAAGACACTTGCATTGCAAGTATATCTCTAGCTATCACAGAGAGAACCGGAAACTTATAAGTGTTCACCTTCCACCAAGAAGGCACATCATAATATGTCCCATCAAAAGTAGTTGGATTCTCAAGCTTCTCTTTCAAGTACAAATCCAACTCATTCATCTTCTCTTGAAAACCTCCTTCGTCGACAAGCTCCTTCGTCGACAAGTTCCTTGTAGATGTCATTCATGCTTTCATAATGTAGACCATTTCCAAGAACCGTTTCCTGAGAAGCTTCTTCTCTAAACTGAGCAGAACTAGTAGACGCTTCATTTGACTGCGACAATGAACCTGATTCAACACCTCCATTCTTGTTTACTTTACTATCATACTCGTCAAACAGATCCTTCAAAATATCCTTCACATCATCCTTCAGATCTTCAGACTTGGGACCTTTAGAGCAGACAGTGTTTGAAGCAGAAAGAAGATGATGAGGAATTGGACTAACCTGTCAACCGAACCAAAATCATCTTTGGTTGGTGGTCCAACCCTTTTTTTCCCTCCACAATATCCGTGAAGTACTTGATATACGGAAAATCCAACTCATGCATCTTGTCAAATGCCGATCTGAACTTTAACGCTTGGTCTAACATCACATAAGTTGAATTCCATCTAGTCTTCACATCTAGAGGCAAGCTTCCTCTTTGAATCCTTCTTGATTCCACATGATTCTCAAATGCCTTGAGCCTAGGTGTGGAAGATCTGACAAAGTAGATGCCATTACGGATAGCATTAACACTGCTACCTATCTCCATCAGACCTTCTTTCACAATCAAATTAATGATGTGAGTAGAACACCTCAAATGAAGAAAGTTACCGTTCAGAATCAATGCATCATCTCCTATCTGCTTAAACTCTTTCTTGAATGTCTCCATGGCATTACTGTTAGCTGTGGCGTTATCATAGGTGATGCAGAATATTCGCTTGATGTCCCACTCCACCAAACAATCAATTAGAACCTTACTTATAGTCGCAGCTTTATGGTCATAGACGTTCCTGAATCCAATGATTAGCTTCCTTAATTGCCACCAAGCATCAACAAAATGAGCTGGGATAACCATATAACTAGCTCCTGTATGTGGTGCGACCCAAATGTCTGTAGTCAGAGACAGTCTCTGCTTATTCTCATCGAGAATCTTCTTTATCCCAGCTTTCCTCTGAACATACATCTCCACAATGTCTCTAGTAGCTGTTCTCCTTGAATGAGGATTGGGCAACTTTGCTCTAGTGCAGAAATGTTTCCATCCCAAGCCCTCAATGAAAGATAAAGGCAGCTCTGCAATAACCATCATCTCATTAGAAGCTTCCCTGATCACCTTCTCATTCACTTTAGAAAGCCGAAGACCATCAGAACCATCAGGAGACAACACGGTTTGGTCCTTCTTTCCAGTGTTAGCAACTTTCCACACATTGTAAGCCTTGCAAGAGACCATGTAATGTTTCTTCAGATTAGATGTGCCATTGCCTGATGGAGCAGAAAAGATCTTCTTGAAATAATTGCAAACTGCTTTGGTCTTGTCCTTCTCAGGTCTCGAGAAATGATCCCATACTTCAGACCATGTATTCTGCTTCTTAGCGCTTTCTTCTTCTGGTTTTTTTCTCTTCCCTTTCCCTTTGCTACTTGTACTCACTGGTGGTGTTGGTGATGTTTCAGTAACATCGTCCTCAGTCTCTGATCCACTACCGTCATGCAAGCGTGGTCCATCATTTGAAGCCATCTCAGAAAGCAAACAAAGCCAATCAGATATGATTCAAGTTTCAGGAACAAGAAAACAAGAAAAAACCATCGTGAAAACTCAAGTGAAACAAGAAAAAAAAAAAAAGCATCGTGAAACTCAAGTATAGTCTACAATTATTAGAGTGAGGAGATGAGATGGCCGAACACTAGTGAAGGCCAAGCATCTCCAAGACAATATCAAGAGTTTACATGGTCTTGTAAAGTTTACATAGTCTTGTAAAGTTTACAAGGTCTTGTAAAGTTTACATGGTCTTGTAAAGCGCTCAATTTCACATTTTATGGTTAGCAATCAGACATTCACTAGTTACAAAGAGAGAATTCAAAAGAGGCAGCCAAAGAGCAGACTCATGTTATTTACATTTCAGGAAAATGAAAGAAAGAGTCAGTGACAAAGAACAATTTGACTCAAGCACGAAGAGATCATAAAGCATCTAAAAGGAACAAAAACAGCATCTAAGAACAATTTGACTCTTAGTCTCGTACAGTCAATCGCATAAGTATATAAACAAAGTTCAAAACAAAATCCAAGAACAATTTGACTCAAGCACGAAGAGAACAACATCGAATCACTCTATCAATCACTCTATCGTTCTTACTCCTTAGTTTTTACAAACAAATCGCAAAGAAATTGGAAACATGCAACAGATGAACATAGCAACATCGAAACAAAACTGAAAGTACGAATACTCGAAAATGAAATCAAAATTGCATACCTTTGATTGATTTGCAGACGTCGCTGATGGAGGATTTCTTCCTCCTCTATGGATTTGAGCTTCCAGTTTTAGTTAATTGAATATGTAAAAGGATTTAAGTTGGAATTCGAAAAACGTTTGCTGGGTTCAGAAGCGGAAGCGACTAAAGCAACGGTGGCGGATAAAACGATGAAGTTTTATTAGACATAATAAGGGTTTGTGTTTTCATCTCGGTTCTACCCAGGTACCCACGGTTAATACCCGACCCGACCCGAGGACCGCGGTTTAGGGAGAAATTTATCCGACAGGTTATTTAGAGGGGAACTGGTGCTAACCGGAACCGGTTTTTTCGGGTCGGTTCTGGGTCTGGCCCCGCGGGTCGGATTTTATGCCCAGGCCTAACAGTGATAAGGTTTCAGAGCTTCTGGAGGTGTCTACTCACCAAATCAACCTGCTTACCTCACCTACTTTCTTACCAAAGGTGAAGGATCAAGGGAAGTTCACTCTCCCTTGCACACTTGGGCATATTGAGCTTGACAATGCCTTGGTGGATTCTGGTGCAAGCATCAACCTGCTCTCCCTCACAATGGCAGAGAAGCTTGGCATTGCTGGAGCATTGCAGCGCCCTACTACCTCAATCATGTTTGGAGATGCAACTTCCAAGTCTCCTCTTGGTGTGTTCAAGAACTATCACTTGAAAATAGGAGAATGCATCATCCAAACTGACCTTACTGTCATGGAGATGGAAGAAGAAAGGGATCTACCTCTGCTATTGGGAACCCCATTCCTTAGCACAGTTGGCGCTTCAATAGACTTTCACAAAAAAAGAAGTCATTCTTTAGAAGGTGAATAGTTTGGTGTCATATCGCTTGCAGCCTAGAGGTCCAGACTTTTGCGTCACTATTGAAAGCACTACTCCCAGTTCCAAAGCTCCTGAAGTTGCAAAGGTTGTGAAGGAAAAGGTTGACAAAGAGTCAAGAGTTGTGAGAGATAAGGTTGAGAAAGATAAGGTGGAGAAAGATCAAACAGTTGATAAAGGACCAAGGATTGAGAAACCACGCCTTGAGAGGCCAAGAGTTGAGAGACCATGATCTGATAAACCAAAAACTGATAGGCTTGTTCAAGCACCATGTGTCCTTGATGAGGAAAGCCTCCAAGCTTTGTTTGATGACCCACTAGGAAGCGCTCAAAAAGAAGGGGAGGATGCAGCCTCAAAGGCACTTGTGGGAGAGAAAAGAAAGGACCCACCAGCTCAGGTTTCCTCAGCCAAGCCATCTCAGCTCACTATGACCTTGTTCCCCACCAAGTTTGAAAATGGAAAGATTGAGTACAAGACAAGGTACAAGGGGAGATCAAGACCATTCTCTAGAGCCAAGGCCTTGGTCACTTGAGAGCAGTCCAGGGATCCAACCAAGCTAAAGGAGCTTCTGTCTCAAGTCCTCAGTATCACCCTTGATGGTAGATTCAGCACTGTCGTGGTTCTATTTCTCTAAGATCAGATTACTAGATGTACGGTAGAGTAATCATGCATTAAGCTCAAGTAAAGGTGAAGATCCATAAGATAAATCCCAATAAGTTGCAACACAATCAAATCATCACGGCCACCATAGATCTCCTCGGCCTAACTAAGAGATCTACTCGGCCATGATGCAAACAAGCAAGCAAAGCATGATTGTAAACATTATGCAAGTATTAAAAGAGATAAAGGGATGAAGAAAGCTTCTCTATTGATGAACAAAGTCGGATTCTCCCTTGAAAACTCTTAAATCAAGTTTATAGAAATGGAAACAATGAAAAAGAAAGAACAAGAGTTGAGCGGCGCCTCCTTCTTCTTGGACGATCTCCTAGGGCTTCTCTCCTCTGACTCTCTTCTCACACGTACACTCTTTGATAATTTTCGGACTCGACTCTCTTCTTCAGCGGCTAAAAACATGTATATATGGGCGAAGTCGCGTAGGGTTTTCTTCATGCCGGAAAAGGAAAGTTTCCCGTGAGCAAAGCCTTCTTCTCCACGTCGTGTATGGGCCGACATTGTACCAAGGAAAGCTCCAAACATTAGCCAGGCCTCTTCTCTATTCGATCAAGGCCTTTGGCGCTGCTGCTCGGGCCATTAGACACTCCAAATCCTCCATGGGCTTCGTTTGCTCGCTTACCGGACATGTCTCGGTAGAAAATAAGTCTAGGCCTCATAGTTGATCCAAATGGCTTCATTCCACTTCGACGTGATGCATGACTCAAGTATCTATCTTTCCATATCAAGATCGTAACTTTTGGACGTCGGGAACTCCTCCGCGCGCGGCCAAACTTCCGAAGCTTCGTTCTGCGCGCTAGCGAGAACTAACACTTGGAGATAAAATGATCTTCTTGACTTGGAAACTTGCATGGATCTTGATTTAGGGCTCTTTTACTCCTTTTTGCATCCTTTTTGATGGTTTCACCTACAAAGACTTCAAATCCCACAAATACAAGAAAACTACCTCTAAAGGCAAAGAATCTTGCAAAAACCGTTTGAAAACATAGGTAATATATAGTAAAATCATGTAAAATATGGTGATATCAACTCCCCCAGACTTAGCCTTTTGCTTGTCCCCAAGCAAACTAAGCAGGAAAAGAGGTTTGAAAACGTGAGAACTCTCAAATCTTTTGGAAATCCAAATTGACTTATGCTTTAGTAATCCACATGAAACAGCATTGGCAAGTTTTGAATTAAGAACAAAGTACATACCATGAGTTTTGCGATTTTCCCAAAGCGGTCCACCTCTCCTTGGACAATCCAATTCGCCACCCTTGACTCCTTTCATTTCTAAAGGTGTGGTCTCAACTAGGGAGTATCGATCAGCCGGCTTTTAGACTCTTACTCATCCCCTTGTTTGGCACTTGTCTTTTTCTCCATGTTTCTCCTCTCTCTCTTCTCACTTCTTTGAGTTGATTCATCCCTTTTTTAGGGTAGCGAAGTATTTTTTTATTCAACTCCTTCTCTTTATTATAGAGGTTTTGCTTGGATCTTCCACAGACGCGAGTATTGATGGTGTTTGCCACCGAATCCCCGGTTATTGGACCTTACGCTTTTTCTTTAAATTGAAGGGGAGAGAGAGGGAAGCACGAACTCACTAAGACTTTTTCATTTGATGGAGAGGATGAGGAATCATGCCATTTGTATGCCAAGCCCCTAGCTGAGAAGATTAAGTTCATTAAGGGCGGAGTCAAAGATGGATCCTTCTCAAGTCTTTAGAGATGTAGGCGTTTTTGGTAGATCGATCAACTCATAGTGCACCTGTGGTAAGATGTATTGCCAAGAACTGCTCAATGGTCACTTAAACATTAGTACAACATGGTTAGATCCAAGATAAGGTCATGATTCTCGACAAAAATTTTGACTCAATAAAAACGACTCGATAAAAAGGGAAAAATGCAAATGAAAACGCCAAAATGAACAAACATTGTTAGTAATCCCCCCAGACTTAACTTGCACCGTCCCGGTGAAATTAAATCGGATTAAGAGAGGCATAACATGAAGTTCAAATGAAAAATTGAAAAGAAAAAGGTTTAGGATGATGTTACCAAATGTCGACCAATTTATAATGAAGATCAGTTCCGGTTTGGGTCATTCTACACTTCTTTAGGCAATATTGGTCGGTGAGTTTTTAATTTCAGGCCTTGGTTTCCGCCGGTTTGTGTTTTGGCCGAGATTGGTATATTCGGTCGGCCAAAATGTGGTGCTGTGAACTACAGAACAAACCGTCAAAATTTCATGACCTATATTGAAATTTCATCGACCAACCTGGTATTTTATGCCTCTGGTGAAGTTTGGGAGCATTTGAACGAGCGGGTTGAGACTTCCTTCACAAAATGGTCAAGTCGGCTCCGGGAAGGAGTTTCCTTGGCCATGTGAAGTTTGGCTCGTTCCTTTTCGTTTCTTCCTGCATAAAAGTGTTAGTTAAGCTCAAAGAAGAGTTTTCCAACCGGTTGGCGCGCCTATGCCGTGATTTGGTTTTGTCGGCCATATTGCTTGCGCGCCATCGGCCAGAATGAGCTCCGTCGTCTATCTCATGATCCGTGATGATTTCTCCGTCCTATCTTTTGGATTTGCCGACCAAAATGTGATTTTATGGTCGCCTGTGAAGTTTGGTGGACTTTGGTCACGCCGTTTAGGAGTTGGCCGTAATTTGGTCTCCTTGTGCGCGGTATGGCCGAGAGAAATGTCCTGGATTGAATTTCTTCAAATCCACTCGGGCCAATTGAGATTTTCTTCGACCGAATTGTTTTAATAACCCTCCTGTGTCATTCCCAAGTAGTGGCCGGAAATGGCGCCAGAAAGCTTGATGGCGGGTTGAGATTGCCTCAAATTTTCACAATTTATAAACCCAACTAATGAGCTGCAAGTGCACAGCCGTGTTGTAGTCGGGGTCGAACACGAGGAGGAAGTGTTCTCACTTAACACCTTGTGAGATTGGTTTGTAGCTAGCTCGCAATATGAGATGGTTTTGGGACCTAGAATGAGAAAGTGAAACAAAAGAAATGTAAGTATGGTTGTAAGCAATTTAAAACAAGAGTTAGGCAAAGGACAATCATATGGAGCAATGATGAAAAGATAGTTGCATGGGATGTGTGTAGAGCTGTCTTGAACATGAATCACTAGTGTATGGTCTTTCCACTGTCGTGGCTCCAACCACTATGTTTAAAACAACCTAATATACTCAGCTTTCGTTGGCTATTAGAATTGCAAACATGCATTAAAGATGATCAAGATTCAATTGTTCACAATAAACCATAACTCAGCTTTCGTTGGCTATGATCTATTGCTCACCAAATACTAGTTTTGAGATCTAGATTCAGCACTGTCGTGGTTCTATTTCTCTAAGATCAGATTACTAGATGTACGGTAGAGTAATCATGCATTAAGCTCAAGTAAAGGTGAAGATCCATAAGATAAATCCCAATAAGTTGCAACACAATCAAATCATCACGGCTACCTGATGTACTTGCATTTTACATAGTTTTAGCACATCTTTTATGCATCTTTTGCATAGTTTTAGCTTCCATTTGCATCATATCTTGTTCCTTTTCTCTTCTTATGCATTCATGTTAGTTTTAGGTTGCATTTGCATACATATGCATGTTTGGTCCTTTGAAATAGGTCTTTTGGAGCATTCTGGAGCATATGGGACATGAGGAGCATGGAGGGACTTGGCACATGGAAGCAGCTCAACTGGATACGCAAAGGAAGAAGGGAGAAGCCATCTTGAAGACCAGCTCGACCGTCTACTCGACCAACCGGTCGAGTTCCTCAACTCGACCGGCCAAGCTTCAACTCGATCGAGCTGAGAAGTCAAAGTCAAACCCGAAAAATGTTGCTTCCCCCTTGACTTTCCTTTGACCCTAAACCTAATCCTCTTGTATTTAAAGGCTCTAAGCCACGAAAAAACCACCAAGCTTTAGATTATTTTGTTTTAGTTTCTTTTAATTTATTGTCTTTTACTTTTTAGAGATCTAATCCCATCTTTGTGTTCTTGAAGCTCTTGCTTCTTGAATCCTAGATCCTGGATAATCTCTTTGTATTTGCACTTGCTTATTTCAATAAAAGTTGTTTAATTTCATCTCCTCTTTCTTATGATGTCTCTTTTATTGCATTTGCTTGTGTTTACATTCATGTGTAGTGAGTAGTTACCCATTAGGGTTTGAGATGGGATAGATTAGAGGTTTCATATGCTTAATCCTTCTAGCTTATGGTCTTAATCTAGATTCTCTCTCTTTTGGATAGATCTTAAGGCTACATGACCACTACCCCTGGCTTGTAAGTCCTTAGGCGACTCCCCACACGAAAGTGATGGCATTCGCTGGAAAAGATCCACTAAGAGCTCCAATATCTCTTGCTCTAGAAATAGAGGTCTAAGGGGTTGGATGGATTAGTTTGGGCAATGATCCTATAGCCTCCAAGGTTTGATTCTCACTGGCTAACCCCCTGTTTCTGAGATCATTCCTTGGTTGATAGCCTCACCTTGGGAAAGGGTTGGCTAGGCATTGAGAAGCCCAATATCAAGAGAAGCCTTGATACAAGGAGTTTTAAGAGCTAGATTGATTAAGTGTAGATTCCTTTGATTGCAAAACCCTGTCTTGAACCCTAATTCTCTCTTTATCTTGTTAAAGTCGTCACCTTTAGCTTTGTTTGTCTCAACTCGTCCCTAAACTCGATCGAGCTGGTACTTTGTTCTGACTCGACTCGAGTCTTGGTCGAGCTGCTACTTCACTGCTTTGTTTACTTTTATTGCACATTTCATTTTTTTAGGTTGTTAGTGTTACTTCAAATCTATTACTGCTTGCTTGACTTTCTGGTTGTTTCATATTCTCATAGAGTGACAAGTTTCCCATTTTGGATTGATAACCTCTTATACTACATGACTATGATGGTTAAGAGGAATTGATTGATTGTGTTGCATTTCATCTTTATTACCACTGTTGCATTCCACCTCATTCTTTCATTCATTCATATCACATCACACACAAAATCCTATCATCAATTTGGCGCCGTTGCCGATTTGGGAATATTTTTGTTGCATTTGAGTTTCAAACACACTTGGACGATCAAGCTATACCACCCCTGTTCTATTGTACTGCTGGGTTTTTGTCTCTTTTTGCAGGTGTATGCGAACTCGATCGAGTCGGTCTACAGAGACTTGGTCGAGCTAGACTTACAACGGGTAGAAAGAGGGTTCAGAGGTCACAGAGGGTACAAGAGGAACCTGAGGTGCTTGTTGCTGATACAATGGATGTACCAGAGGGGAATGGAAACCCTTTGGGAATGGACTCGGTCGAGCTAGGCAAACTCGACCGATTGGTCAAGGAGATGCTCCAAACCGCCACCAACAGAGACAAGGGATTGTTCCACCACCAGTGCAGAACCACAACTTTGAGATCAAGCTGGGAATGATCAACCTTGTCCAGAACAAGATGTTCCATGGATTGCCAAGTGAAGACCCCATTGACCACCTTGATGAGTTTGATAGGCTTTGTGATTTGACAAAGATCAATGGTGTCTCTGAAGATGCCATCAAGCTGAGACTCTTTCCTATGTCTCTAGCTGACAAAGCTCACCAATGGGAGAAGAGCTTGCCCCATGGCACAATCACCACTTGGGATGAATGCAAGAAGGCCTTTCTTGCTAAGTTTTTCTCCACCGGTCGCACAGCCAAGCTTAGAGGAGAGATATCCAGCTTCATCCAGCGAAACAATGAGACATTCGCAGAGGCTTGGGAGAGGTTCAAAGGCTACACAAGTCAGTGCCCACACCATGGATTCAACAATGAATCACTACTCTCCACTCTTTATAGAGGATGCTTGCCTAGGTATAGGGAGATGCTAGACACAGCTAGCAATGGGAACTTCCTCAACCAGGATGTAGATGATGGCTGGCAACTTGTGGAGAACATAGCTAACTCAAATGGAAGCTATGGAGAAGAGTATGATCGCACCAACCGGAGCTCGACCCACCACTCGATCGAGTCAGACGAAAAGTTGAGAAAAGATGTTAAGGCATTGAATGAGAAGTTGGATAAGCTGATCCTAGCTCAGTCCACAATGAAGAAAGTCAACTTTGTGTCTGCTGAGGAGATGGAACCAGTCCAAGAAGGGGAGGATACACAATTTGCTGAGGTGTGCTACATGAGCAATGGGCAAGGAGGTTACAACAAAGGATACTATAATACAAGTCCAACCCTGCCATGTCATACCGCAACACTGATGTTGCTAACCCTCAGGACCAAGTATATCCTCAACAACAAGCAGCTCGATCGAGTCAGGTGCCACAACATGGGTATGGTCAAAAGAACAATTACCAAGGACCACAAGGCACTTTCCCTGGACAACAAATGAATATCCCACCAGGCTTCCCCCACCAACCGCCCCAGCCTGCACCTTCACAAGAGAATGAGCTCAAGGCAATGCTAAAGCAACTACTTCAAGGGCAAGCTGATGGGGTAGTGGACACAAGCAAGAAGCTAGCTGAAATAAACTCTAAGATCGAGAACCTCAACACAAGGGTTTACTCTCTGGAGAATCATGCTTCTTCTGTTGCTGCTGCTACAAAGCAAGGACAACTACCTGGTAAAGCTATTCAGAACCCCAAGGAACAGTGCAAGGTCATCTTCACTCAAGAAGGACTTGTTGAAGAAGAGGATCAAGAAAGGGTCATTGAAGATTTTTGTTTACTGCTGAATGATGAAGAGATTGTTGCTGCTGAGGCTCCTGGAGTCCAGATTGATCAACCAGAAGTGCAGGCACCTACTGTGGCCATTCACACTTCACCAGTTGAGCTCGCACAACAAGCTCGATCGGCAGCTCGATCGAGTCCAACTCTAGCTCGATCGAGTCCGACCTCTTCTGTCCGAAAGCCTGTTTTGCTTGATCCTTACCAACCGGTTGCCGCTTCCTCGTCTCGCCTACTTAGTCAAGGTCACAAGGAAGTGATTCACAAGTTCAGAAGAGATCTCAGTGGGATTGGAATTGAGTTGCCTCCTATGGATAGCATGAGTGAGGCATTTGATCAAATGCAAATGGTCAAGGATGTTCTAGCCAACAGTGATAAAGTTTCAGAGGTCCTACAAGAGTCTACTCATCAGTTCAACCTGCTTACTTCACCCACCTTCCTACCAAAGGTCAAGGATCAAGGGAAATTCACTCTCCCTTGCACACTTGGGCATCTTGAGATTGACAATGCCTTAGTGGATTCTGGAGCAAGCATCAATCTGATCTCTCTCTCCATGGCAGAGAAGCTAGGCATTGCTGGAGCCTTGCAGCGCCCTACTACTTCAATCATGTTTGGAGATGCAACTTCTAAGTCTCCTCTTGGAGTGTTCAAGAACTATCACTTGAAAATTGGAGAATGCATCATCCAAACTGATCTCACTGTGATGGAAATGGAAGAAGAGAAGGATTTACCTCTGTTATTGGGAACCCCTTTCCTTAGTACAGTTGGCGCTTCAATAGACTTTCACAAGCAAGAAGTGATCCTTCACAAGGTGAATAGTTTGGTGTCATATCGCTTGCAGCCTAGAGGTTCAGACTTTTGTGCCACAATTGACAGTACCAACTCTCAGTTCTAAGAGTCATGGAGCTACAAAGGTTGTGAAGGAAAGGGTTGACAAAGAACCAAGAGTTGGGAAGGATAAGGTTGAGAGAGGACCAAGGATTGAGAAGCCACGTCTTGAGAGGGCTAGAGTTGAGAAACCACGTTCTGATAGACCACGAGCTGATAGACTTGTTCAAGCCCCTTGTGTGCTTGATGAAGAGAGCCTTCAAGCTTTGTTTGATGAGCCACTAGGAAGGGCTCTAAAAGAAGGGGAGGATGTAGCCTCTAAGGCAAGACCAGGGATAAAAGAAAGGATCCACCAGCTCAGGCCCCTTCAGTCAAGCCATCTCAGCTCACAATGACTTTGTTCCCCACCAAGTTTGAAAATGGGAAGATTGAGTACAAGATAAGGTACAAGGGGAGATCAAGGCCATTCTCTAGAGCCAAGGCCTTGGTGACTTCAGAACAGTCCAGGGACCCAACCAAGCTAAAGGAGCTTCTGTCTCAAGTCCTCACTATCACCCTTGATGGTGGGACTAGCTCAACCAATGCCTAAGAAGGTAAAGGTCAAGCTATGGGACCTTAAACAAGCTCACTTGGGAGGAAGTCCCATGTTTATCCTTGTACATATTCTATTTATGCAATTTCTATCTAGTTTTGTGTTTTAACCTTTCAATAAGTTAAGTTTAGGTGTCAAGGAGCCAGCTCGACCGACAGCTCGATCGAGCTAGAAACAGGGCAACTCGATCGAGTTCCACAACTCGACCAAGGTAAGTTTTTGAATTTCAAATTCTAACCGTTTTCTTGGTCAAGGGAGTGGGTCCCACAAGTTGATTTTGGTCCCCCACTACCCTAATTGATCAGAAAACCCTAGCTTCTTGTCCCCTCTTTATTTCACCTTTTAATCTCAACCACACATCTCAAACACTCCCTCTTCCCCATAACTCGATCGAATCCACTTCTCCACTCTCCCACACTTAAAATTTCTGAAATCATCTCTCTCTCTCTCTTCACCACAAGAAATTTTCCAACCTCTCTCTTAAGTTTTTGCGATTTCCTCTTGTTCTTCATTGCTTTGCTTGGTTTCGTTTATTGTTCTTCAATCCATCATTCAAGCAAGGTATGAACCCTAAAACCCTTGATTCCATCTCGATTTCCATTATTGCTTGTTTCTCTTTGATTTTTGATTGCATGTGTCCCTTGTGGACTTGTTCTTGAGTAATTGCTCATATTTCGCCTCTGCTGTATAATCTTGTTAATTTGTTACCTCACCTCTGTTTTGCCTTTAAACTTGTTGCATGTGCTTGAAAATTGAATTTGAGTTTGGTATTGGTTAAGGTGCTTATGCTTCACTAGAATTGCTCATTGTTCCATTTACTAGTTGTTCTTGGTTCAATTTGATTGATTAGCATCTTTCCAGCTCTTAATACTTGAATTAGGTTTGGTTATACTCTGTTTTCACCCAGCTCGATCGAGTTTGTCACTCGAGTTTTTTGACTCGATCGAGCTGAGTGTCGAGTTGACCAAACCGATCATTGCAACTCTAATTCTTTGTAATCTTTGATGCATTTCAGGTACTTTAGTGAAGAAACAGAGTAACAAGATGACAAACAGTGAGGGAAGCCGCGCTTCACAGAGGAGAATGGTTGAGGGTGAATCAAGCAATGCAAGGGAAAGAAGGCTTAAGATGCAAGCCGATTTGGAGAGGATGATCAGAGGATGGAAGAATCTGATGCAGAGGGATATGTCTACTCTGAGGAGAATCTGAGAGTGAGAGATTGAGGGAAGAAAGGAGAACCAAGAAGAGGAATGACCCTATTAGTAGTGAGAGTGAGCAAGGAGTTTGAGAATTGGAGTGAACCTTGTTCAAGAGGAGGGAAATGGTTCTCCAAATGAAGAAGGAAGTGATGAGACTGAGAGTGAAGAGGAAGGAGAAGAGGTGAACCAATTGGTTGATGAAGATGACAAGAGGGGAACCAAGATGAGCCAATGGAGGAGGCTGAGGAGGAGCAAGAGGAGGAGGATGAGCTCCCCATGTACCAAGAGCACTACAATGCTCTCTTCTCCATGGACTTTGTGGAGACCAAGTACCCACATGATGACACATGAGAGGCCTTGGATCTTTGAGGATGTGGAGTTGGTGCTCAAGAACATGCAATTGGCCAAGTTCTTCTCTCACCGCATGGAGTCTTACAAGGAGTTGACTTGTGAGTTTTTGGCTCAATGAGCATCACAGTTTGATGAGCTCGATCGAGCTGAGTTGGACCAAGGCTGGGGGTACATAACTTTCTTGGCAAAGGGAGAGAAGAAGATGGTGACCTTTAGGCAGCTTGAGATACTGTTTGGGTTCACTATGGAGAAGGAAAGTGGAACATCAAGGAAGAAGAACTCCAAAGAGTATTGGGCTACAATAGCTAAGATGGGGTACTCTTCCTCAAGGTCCAAGGCTGCCAGATCAGAAGTCTGTGCTTAGATATGTCCACAAGGCTCTTGCCAACACCTTCTTTGCAAGGAAAGCCACTGGACAATCAATGAGGGAGAAGTGAAGTCCTTGACATGGGAATCAAGCCTATCATCTCACGCACAAGGATGGCAAGAAGGATCAGAGGAGATAGACATGACAGGGAACTTGATGCCTCTTCCTTGACCATCTCCACCTACAAGATCACAGCTTACAACACTAGGCATCAACGAGGGAAGGCTAAGTGTTGGAGGGGTCATCACACCATCTTGTGTGCTGCTGGAGTGAACCCAACTGATAAGAGAAGCCACTGAACCAGGTTGGATGGACATCAAGTTTTGCAAGACCAACCTTCTCATTGAGCACAAGAGTTGGATGGGAGATTCCAATTCAAGTTCACACATCCATTGGTTGGACCTCCAAGTTCTCCTGCCCAACCCAGAGCTCACCACAGTAGTAAGGGGTGAGAACATTGACTTCAGACCCCCTGTGTACACATTAGTTGGGCATGAGGGATTTGCAAGAAGAAGAGCCTGAGCTCGATCGAGCTGAGGATCGAGCTGAGATCAAGCTGAAGATCAGGTCCAGGAGAGTGCGATTTGGGTGAGCCTGAGTGCTATTACTTTGAGGAGTATGAGGCTCCAAGGATGAACCCCTCTGTTGTGGCTGCCCACAAA